TTTCCCATGGCAATGTGCCTTTTAATTTTCTGGCTGCTGGTGCCAAGACTGTTGACTACGGAGCCAAGCAAACTAAAGCTGTGTACAATCTCAATCTCTTCACCATCCATCCTGATTCTGCCAATTGGTCCAGTAGTGAGAATCTTTGTCTTCTTGACATTGAGCCTCAATTTTAAAATTCCTGTGAAATAGTGTCTTTTGATTTAGAAATTAAAGAAATTACATTCTTACTTGATACCATATTTTACCCTATAGTGAGTGCATTTCAGAATTACTTTTACTTCAGCATTGTGCCTTTAAGGTGTTTATAGTCGCACCACTCTGTTTCTAGAAATAATATTAAAATGACAAAATATTTTAAAATACAATTTATGCAACTTATGAATATTGTTTCCCCAAAACATTGATTAGTTCTTCTTGTCCTATAAATAACTATTTATTTCATCATCTTCTATAAGTGTTTTCTTTATAGTGATGTAAAACAAAACTCTTAGGCAGGAGAAACTGCGTATTGGCTTAAGGAAAGCTTTCTCAGATAAAACACAGAGCATGAACAAAATATAAGCTTGATGAATTGTATTCATAAGAAATGAAAAACAATAACAAAACTGTGCTCTCAAAGATATTGTTAAGAAAATGAGAAGATAAATGGTATTTTGGAAGAAAGCATTTATAAAACATGCATACAGAGGAATCATATCCAGAATATGCGGTTTTTAAAATTCATTGAAAAGAAAACAACACTATTATCTATGAAAACTATTTGAACAAAAACTTCACCAAAGAAAGCACACAAATGGCAAACTAAAACATAAAAAGTGAGCAACATAATTACTACTGTTACTATAAATAGAGTCCATTCTTACTCATAGCAACCATGTAGCAGAGTAGAACTATCCTATAAAGTTTTCTTTCTTTGTGTCTCTCTTTTCTCTTTCTCTCATTGCTGATGGACAGATCTTTCCTCCCTAACTGCTCTTAGCAGGTTTGAACCACCAAACATTAATTTAGCAGTCAAGTGCTTAATCATTATCCAGCCAGAAATCCTTTTTCAGCATTGTCATTAATAAAATGGGTCTCTGGTGACCTAATCTGCAACAAGTTACACAAACACAAAAGCTGCATGCATCTTGTTGGGTGGAATCCTCCAGCAGCTGTGAGAGAAATATGGGCCGCCTCCACCCACTGTGATTTAAGGCCTCAAAAACCTGGTGGGCCATCATTGTGTGTGAAGACAAAGTCAACAGCAGTGGGTTTCAGCTGTAGTCATTAACAAAATGTAAAATTAATGAGATAATTATTAGAATGGCTAAAATTAAAAGTCAGCACATCAAATGATGAAGCTCTGGAGAAAGTATAACTCACCAACACGGATTTCATTTTTTATAAAGTTTATCGACTACTTTCACCTTCCTCTTCCCTTTTTAATAAAATACTGTGCTATGTCTCTTTTTTTTTCAAGAAAGGAACACAAATCTTCCACTCACCATTCCCCAGCCAAAATGGCTTTTAATATTAATGAAAACCCAAATTTGGAATTGCACTGCAGCTGTCTAGCTGATACACTGATAGGAGATGTAGCAAATACATTTTTGGCTACAGACGTTCCAGAGACTGGTTAAGAATAAGCCTACAAAGAATTTATTATCAACACTTATATCATTATTAACATATACTTAACACATTATTAATATAAGATCAAGTATCTTCAGAATAAAATCTCAAATCTCACAATTAGAAGTGAGACACAAACACTTGGACATATCAGTTGTATTTCTTTTCCCAATTAAATCTAAATTTAGACTCATGCTCCAGCCTCCAGAAGGTTTTATGCATTAACCACATAGTAAACCTTATACTAAAATGTATGTTTACCCTTAAGCTAATTTTCTTATAAGGCATCAAGGTGACACAGTGGTGAAGCACTGGCTGGTAAGCAAAAGGTAAATGGTTTGACTCCCCTAGCAGCTCTGCATGAGAAGGCTATGGCAGTTAGCTTTCCTAAAACTTACAGCCTTGGGGACCCAATGGGGCAGTGCCACCCTGTTCCGTATCACTGCTGTGAGACAGAAATGACTTAACAGAGAAGCATTTTTCCCCCTGATATATAATTTCTGAAAAAAAATTCCATCCACATTAGCAGTGTACCCAGTGACAGGATCAAATATTCTTCGCTTTTTTTTTATGGGTTCCATTTTTTTTATTACTAAATTTTATTAGTTTTAATGAACATTTACAGAGATTTTGGGTTTTCATTCATTCATTGTTGCACTGTTTTCTCCACCCTCCTCCCCAGTTCGTTCTTCTCCCCCCTCCAATGTCTGTTTTAATTGTCCAGTTGCCACAGTTTCTCTTTTCTAATAGCAATGTCTGCATATCAGATTGAAAGCCAGCTCAAATTTTATATCTCTGGTCCAATAATAATGCAATTGGAAACTTAGATAAAATGGCATAAATAAATCTCTGAGAGTTTATTATTCAAGTACCTGAGCTTCTTCCTGTTGCTTTTTAAGCTGTTCAAGCATCTGCTGAAATTCAGCCTCTTTCTGCTCTGCTTCTTCCAAGGTGGCTTGATTCTGTTCCTCATAAGCCATGGCCACCACAGCCAGGATCAAGTTCACCAAATAAAAAGAGCCCAAGAAAATCACCAGGACAAAGAAGATCATGTATGTTTTTCCAGCAGCACGTAATGTCTGGGGGGTGGGGGAGGAATAATTTTAAAAGTATTTTAATATAATGTCCCCAAATAAAGGTGTGATTACCATTGTTAGATAATAAAAAGACTAATTCCTTTTAATAGCTAATGTATTTTGACCAAGATTTATTTTTCACTGTGGTGTTAAAATATACAAAAATTATAATAGTTCTGTTATGTGAGGCTTAACTCCAGTGTCATTTCACATTAAAACTATTTAGATAAATTATTATGTACTAGATATATCTTTGAAGTCACTAAAATGCTTATCCTGGGATGCATAATGCAGAGTCAAATTATGAATGAGGGGCTTGTGTCTTTAACCCCTTTCAATGTGGCTCCATGTATAAGACAGTTTATTTTCTACACGTCTAAATACGCCTTTAATTTGGAATCGCCTTTAATTTGGAATCTGTATATAATTGCTTTTGTTTTTGCTTTTTCACATACTGGTTTTATCTACAACTAGTTAGTAAGCTCTTCAACGCCATTATCTTTACATTCTCCAAAGCCCTTAACAGAAAGTCTTTTCCTCATGCAAGAAGCTTTCACTATGAACGATTGGGATTCTAGGCATACTCATATTAGGTTGCACACTTCTTTATAAGCAATAGTGTTATTAAGCAAGTTTATTCATGTTAAAGTATCCACACATATATTTTCATGTGTGTTCAGTTATATAAACTCTATGCATGCTATTTTGGGTCTTACCAACTGGTAAAGATTCTCCCAGTAATCTTGAGTCATAAGGCGAAAGAGAGACAAAAAAGCCCAGCTAAAGGTGTCAAAGCTTGTATAGCCGTAGTTTGGGTTTCGACCAGCTTTCACACAGATGTATCCTTCTGGACACTGGCTACAGGACAGAGAAACAAGAAGGTAAGGTCAGTACTGCAATTTCAATTGACTTAGATTGATAGGAATTGATTTTATTACAGATAGTTCATTACATAGCGTATCTCTACAATGAATTTTCTTGCCTTTATTTCCAGATCACTTAACAGTGTTAGGAAAACAATATAAAACATAGTTATAAAAGAGATCCATTTACAGACATCTAGAGCAGAGGAAGGGTCCCACCCAGTCTAACATCATCAGTTTCTCCCTGACATAGTAAGAAGCACTAATATAAAAGTTAAGTGAAAAACTAAAGCAAACAAAACCATGATTATTTCAAAGGGATACAGTAGCAAATTGAAAAGGTGTCCAATGATGAATGCTGCAACAATTTGAGAAACATAATAAAGTATCAGTGAAATATAATCCATGGTATAAAATATCTATTGAGTACACACTAGTATAAATCAATAATTGAATATATACATAAGGAGGAATAGACAAATATCCTATTAAAGAAAAAGGTCCAAGAAATTTATGTACCTACTCCATCACTAGGTGAGAGATCTTAGTTCCCCATTCCTTGATTATGGCCTGCTAATAGTGATTTCAATTCATAACCAAACTCTTGTGGTGTAGTATATAAGGAGTTGTGCTGCTAAACTGAAGGCCACAACTCTCTAGCAGTTTGAAGCTCAGCAGCTTTGAGAAGACAGGAAATCTTCCTAGGCAGTTTACAGCCTTGGAGACCCAATGAGTGAGTGAACAGGGATGAGAAGCCTGACTCTTACCACACACTGTCTATTTAATTGTTCAATTCCAGTAGGGTTACATAATGATCTCAGACTTGTTAGTCCATGATGCCATGGAAGATGACTTTACAAATTACAGTATAATTCTTTCTGGTTATAGTCTTAGAGATTTCACTAATTTCCAAAGCTACTCAGGTCATCATCAATTTCCCTAGCCCCTCCAATGAAGTTGCTACACATATTTATAAACTTTTTTCCTGTTTTGTCTTCTATACTGGAATTTTTGAATCTTATGAATGATTTGTTAAAATATATTATGGTGCATTCTTTATCCTGCAAATTTCTTGGACTTTTAACAAATACTCAGTGTTCAATATTCACCCTTACAGTATCATTTAAAATAGCTCAGTGCTTCCCTTCTCCAACTCCCAAACCATGATTCGTATTATCTGTAGATTTTTCTGCTTACATTTTCACTTTTATTTGTTTTCATTCAGTCACTTATACACTTTTAACTTAATAATGACAGGAATTAATTTCTCTCTTTATTTTGGTCAATGAGTAATATCGCACTAAAGATCCACGGTAGCATATTGTGTAATGGGTTGAAATGACAACCAAAAGGTTGGTAGTTTGAATCTCACAGACATTCCTTGGAAGAACAATAGATTGTAGATATTTACAGCTTTGGAAAACTGATGGAAGTGTGGGTGTTAATACTCCACTGTATGGATCACATTTGTTTATAATTTCACCTACTGAAGATGATTCCAATTTTGAAAATTATGAATAAAAATGCCATCATATTGACATGTATGTTTCTCTGTATATATGTTTACAAATAAATGGAATAACAACCTAGTAAATGAATTGCTGGATAATATAGTAATAACACATTTAGTTTTACAAGAAATTGTCAAACTGCCTTCCAAATATTTGTACAAGTTTGTGTTACCAGTCGTGAGTGAGTGATCCTGCTCTGTATTGTCAGCTGCCTGTTCTGTGGGAGAAGGATGTGCAATCACCTCTGGTGCAATTTATTGCCTCTGAAACCCTGCTGGTCAGCTGAGTAGGTGTAACTTGATGGTGCACAACAACATAAGTGAATAGTGGTATCTCACTGTTGTTTTCAATAACTATTCCCTAATAGCTTATGAACTTTGATAAATGTTGATACTTATAGAGGGGCTTCAAGCCGTTTCTTCATATGGTCACTATGAGTTGTGCTTGACTCAAAGGTAATCAACAACAACAACAATAATATTCCCTAATAACCAGTATTAATTGATAATCTTTCAATATATTTATTTTCCATTTCTTTATCATTTCTAATTTAGATACTTGATACTTATTTTGTAATTCCACATACAAACTGTCTTGGGAACCAAACTATGCCTTAAGTGAGGAGTGGGTATATTTGATAAACAATCCTAATTGCTATAGTTTGCTAAATGTAAATTTGTGGGAGAAGGATGGGCAATCTCCTCCTGTGTGATTTACCTACTTGAAGGGGCAATTTTCAACATGAGAGCAATGCTGTTGTTGTTATGTGCCATCGAGTCGTTTCCAACTCCTAGCGACCCTATGCACAACAGCTCTAAACCCTGCTCTATCCTGTGCCAACCGCACCGCCTCTGACACACCCATCCTGATTACCCCAGTCACTGAATCAATCCATCTCATAGAGGGTCTTCCCCTCCTGCGCTGTCCCTCCACCCTCCCAAGCATGATGTCCCTCTCCAAGGACCCGTCCCTCCTGGCAACATGTCCAAAGTATGCCAGACGAAGCCCCAGAATCCTTGCCTCCAAGGAGCAGCTTGGTTTAATCCTCTCCAAGATGAATCTGTTTGTTTTCCTGGCAGTCCATGGTACATTCAGTACCGTTCTCCAGCACCACAGCTCAAAAGCATCCACTCTCCTTCTGTCCTCCCTAGTCACTGTCCAACTCTCTGATGCATAACAAGCGATTGCAAATACCATGACCTGTATCAGGCGCACCTTAGTCTCCAGAGAGACACTGTTGCTCCTGAGTACCTTTGAGAGGTCCCTAACGGCAGACTTTCCCATCGCGATACACTTTTTGATTTCCTGACTGCTGGTACCAAGAGTGTTGACTGTGGAGCCGAGCAAAGTAAAGCAATGAGAAGTATAAAATATGCATTAACCAATCTGAGCTTTATCTTTTGTTTTACATTAATCCCATTAATTTAAAAAAGTTAAAAATGGAATAAGATCTTATGATTGAACAGATGCTAGTTCAAGTTCTTTATGTGTACTAAATAAGAAATATAAGAAATAATCAAAACAACAGTATGAGAAAACTATATTATTATTGCTGTTGTTGTTATGTGCCATTGAGTTTCTTGCAACTCATAGTGGCCCTATGTACAATAGCCCTTAATCTGCTCCGTCCTGTGCCAATCTTACTGTCTCTGACACATCTACCCTTATTACCTCAGTCACTGACTCAATCTATCTCATTGATGGTCTTCCTCTCTTTTGCTGTCCCTCCACCCTTTCTAGCATGATGTCTCTCTCCAAAGACTAGTCCCTCCTTGCAAAATGCCCCAAGTATGTCAGACAAAGCCTCGGAATCCTTGCCTGTAAGGAGCAGCTTGGTTTCACCCTCTCCCAGATGAACCTGTTTGTTCTCCTGGAAGTCTATCGTATATTCAATACTCTTTTTCCAGCTCCACAGCTCAAAAGCATCAACTCTCATATTATTAGCCCTATTTCAGATATGAGTAAACAGAGATATTAAGATATTCTTCCCAAGGTCAGAGAGTTTGTAAGTCATAGAATTTGGATTTGAACAAGGAGAATATGAACTCTAGAACCTATGTTTTAGCCAGTACCATTCCAAACAAAAGCCGGTAAAAATGCCAGAAAAAAAACCCCAACCCTTTTTTGCCTAATTCGAATAATTGTGATTTTAGAACCAAAGGTGACAGTAAATAAGACAAAAATGTACTTTGGAGGTAGACAGTGCTACTATGTCTTGTAAGGATACATATATTAGTTTTTTTCTCTATTTACTTTCTTTTTCCACAAATGTTTGCCTGTATGCCTCGTATATATTTTCTTTACTATTCTTATATTTTCATGACTACACCCATTTCTCATTTTCTAAGAGACCTCAGAATATGTTCAAGTTCTTTAACTTAAGTAAAACTCAGTATTGCAACCCTTCAGAGATTAAAATTCAAAATAAATACTTTAATTAAAAATAAAATGTGCAACACTCTTAAAGAAGTACATTAAGGGCTCTATATGAAATGTAACAGGCTAGTCGAATTGCAGAATGTGGTCAAAACAAATCGGTTAAGTATATAGACTCAGATTTTGACATGCCTTTGGCATGTATTTAGCCTAATGCTCTTTTATTCACAAGTCTTTATACTATGCAAAGATACTGAAGTTCAGTTAAATGGATTATCTTATTAAAATATGACCCTAAATCTTCAAACCAAGAAATCAAGTTCCACAAGGCATTAGATGGTACAGATGAAGTTTCAGAATCTTCCTTTTTAAATATTCTTTTTTTGTCATTGTTGTAAATACAGTTACCATACATTTTTTGTCAATTTACATTTTCTTACAGATGTATAATTTGTTAATAATAATAATATTAATTAATTGTGCAGCCCTACCCTAAACTTGGAAGCAAGAGTGGCACTTCTGTTAATAGCTTGCCTCTGGAAGCCCTATGAACCTGGAGAAAGGATGGAAGTCACACAAGGGTCGAGGACTTTCGTTCATAGGGTAGCTATGAGTCACCTATGACTCAACAGCACTTAACAACAACAACAACCCTAAACTGACATGATGTCTTAGTTAAAGAGACCTTAGGAGCTTACAAGCTCCATTCAAAGCACAAGAAATGGTGTCTATTTGTCCAAAGCAACATAGGAAGAAGGAGAGTCATAAATTGGAGGAATAAACAGATTGCATCTCCATGAACAACTTAACTTCTTTGCCAAAAGACCAGACAGATAACAGGGTGGTCTTACTACTATTGTAGTTGATGTTGATTGCTATCAAGTTGAGCACAACTTATCATGACCCTATAAACAAAAGACCTGAAGCCTTTCTATAATTATCATCATTTCTCAAAGTCCATAGAGTTTCCAGGGGCATGATTTTAGGAAGTGAATGTCACTCCTGCTTCCAAACCTATCCTAAACTGGGAGCTCCACAAAACACTATATCCACCATGGCTAACTGTTATGGCATTTGACACCCAAGGCACAAGGTTCAGCATAAAGCAACCCCAGGTTACCTCAGTACAGCAAACTGACAGACAAGTGCTCTAGAAGAATGTTCCTCCAAATGATAGCTAACCCCTGACTTTTAAATACAAAGGGCCTCCACCAAGGTCTTGCTGACCATAAACAAGTGTTTTAAATCAAAACCAACCACTGAACATTTTTATAAAAAAGAATAACAATACAGGACAGAATTTCAAATTCTCATAGAATCCATATTTCATGGAAGTTGGATGAACCTTGAAACTAGTATTCCAAGATAAGCTTTAAACCTTAAATAACAACAACAACAACAACAAAGATATCTTAAAATCTTCTTAAAACCAAACCATGAATTAGCATAGGTAGTAAAAAATATTTACATTCACTAGGATATCAGAGTTTAGTGAGCAGATGGAGGGTAGGATGATGGGTAAAGGAATAGGAAAGATTCAGTGGGGACTCAATAAGATGGGGTAATAATAGGCATAGATATATAATAAAATGTATGAATAACTGTACAAAACACAATGTAAATGAAAGATTATATAAAGCACAATGTACATGAATGAAATAGAATGTTAATTAATTATTTTATAAAAAATAATATATTTTTAAATTAAAAAAAAAAGAAAAATACTGTATGGCCCTTAAGTCTAAAGGGAAACCTGATATAGTATCTACTTAAAAAAAAAAAACCAAACAAAAAAAAAACCAACAGAAAAACCAACCACAAAAACCAATAAAATGCTTTGTAGTAAGTGACAAAAAAAAAGTATGTTTGCATTGAACATTGTGTACTTTTTATATTTTTTATATGAGATCAAACTGACTACCATTACTTGAAATACTAGATAGGAGACTAGAAACTTGGAAGTAAGTTACTGAATTGTACATGGAGAAACTGTTGAATCTGCTAAGGTTCTGTTGTACACATTCAACAACAAAAATAAACAAACTTTTTTTTTAAATAAACAAACTTTTAAAAAGAAAAACACTGCCAGAATAACCAAAGCTGTTTCTCCATTTAGCTTGCATCCAAAAGAGTGTGTTATAACAGGGATCTTTCCCATCCATAACAAAACAGCATAGCCACACCAATTAAAATGTGTCTGTCCTGTGTTCCTTCTCTTCATTTCCTCAAACAGCTCTCATGTATTCATAAAAGAAACATATTATGAACATTAATATTTTGGAGCAATATTTCAGAGACATCTCAGCTGTGACATCTTGGTGAATATTCTTCCTAAGGGATGATTTTAATAACTGTGAGTTTATGACCAATGACAGTCTGATGTGAAAAAGAAAGTATTTAATGGATAAACAGTACCACTTTGTTAAACACATGTAAGGGTACAAATGTGTCAGATTTTTTTCCTAATTGCTTTAAAAAAAGTGTTTTAAACCAGAGTTTTTCTTACCCTGCATCTGAACCATTCCCACAGAGTAAAGGGTCATTTTGTCCATCCAAAACATAAAAGTGACCTATGAATATAAAAAAAATATTTCATATTAATCCTATAAATTTAGGAATAATGTGTCTGTTTCAATTAATTTTATCATTGCTGTTGTTGAGTACCATCAATTTGGAACTGACCCGTAGCTGACCTTCCAGTGGGTTTCATGGACAGTTAACCTCATGGGAGGAAATTGCCTAACCTTCTGCTGCGGAGCTGTGTGTCTTTAGGATTGTGGTAATTTTGTTACCACTAGGCCACCAGAGCTATCATAGGCTTCAATAAAATATATTTATAAAGATAGCCTTAACCCAAAGTTGCAACTATTTTTAATGGAAAACTTGTTCAGTAGCATGAAAGTTAACAAATGTAGCAATACTTCTTACTCTCATCATTAATGTAATCCTTCCAGTTAAATGTGCTCACGGTTACATTCACAAATGTTCCATTTGAATCCACTGTGCTATTAAAGTAGGAAGTGATGTTGGTTTCAAATGCAGAATCGTTTGGGGGCCACTGCAAACATTTATTCCTCAGGTTACCCATGAACAGCTGTAGCCCAATGAGGGCAAACACACTTAGACAGAACACAGTCAGGATCATGACGTCGGACAGCTTCTTTACCGACTGGATCAGGGCCCCTACGATGGTCTTTAAACCTGAGAAGAGAACAATAGGTCACCTTAAGAACTGTGTCGTAAATCAATTTCTTTTTACTGTGCACACACATTTTCCTGCCGCCCCCCTGCCCCAATGATCTCTTGACCATTTAGACACCAGTGCTTTATGAATGCCTGATGGTTTGGGAAATGGCTGAAGAGCAGCTTTTCTCTATGAACAGCTTGCTTTCTGGAGATTCAATATGAATGTTTACATTTCTAGGTCAGATTTTTTTTTTGTTTGGTATTGGTGTGGTTTTATGTTCTGCCACAAATATGTGGGTAACTTGAATTTATTTTTAATTACAGATTTGTGTTTCATAAAGTTATTTCCCTCTCACTAATTTCAAGTAGCAATGATTTAGACAAGGCAATTTTTAGATACTAAAAACCCCACCCAGGTCAGGAGCGTGCTGTTCAGTATTAGTCTTGGCACTTGAAGGAGATCCATTTTCAAAATAGATCTACTCTGAGTGTAGAGTCTTGATCAGCTAGTCAAGCCATGGTATATGGTCGTAAAGCTTTTTCTGATGCAGAAGATACATATTTACAAGAGACATGCAAAAAAAAATTTAAAAAAGCCACAGGAGAGAGCAGCAAAACTGGTCCTTTTTTATAGCTGTCTCATGCAATTATCTGTTGAACTCCAAGGCTGACTTTATAAATAAGCATGTCATATCTCAAATTTTAAGAGCTAAACTGGCATTGAAACTTCATTTGACATTCTGGAATTTCACTTTTAAAACTACTAAGCAGTAAAGAATAAGTGTGATTTCAGCCTCAATGTTATTACAGTGTGTTTAAAGTCAGCCTCGGTGTTTAACCTCACTCTCACCTGGAATGACTGAAATTGTTTTCAGGGCTCGGAGAACTCTGAATGTTCTCAACGCTGAGACATTGCCCAGGTCCACAAACTCTGTGACATATCTGTAATAGGGGGTTCACACACAAACACAATAACACACAAGAGAAGTTGGAGATATAAGGGGCCTACCACCTTACACCAGTTACTTCTTACCTGGGATTACAGAAATAGTTTTCAGAGCTCTCAAGACTCTGAAAGTTCGAAGAGCTGAAACATTGCCTAGGCTTACAAATTCTGTTACATACCTGTAGAATTAAATCAGAGTTACTGATAGTTTTGGAAAAGTTTATACTAAATAATTAATGTTTGCTTGGCACAGGGCTCCTTCAATTTAATAGGCAGAATTGCAATCGACTTCAGGGAGCCATACACTGTGAAGTGCTTTTATGGGATAAGATTTTGTTGTTTTGTTTCAGTGTAATTTTCACTGATATGAGCAAGTTTGTTTGCAAAACTAATCAAGGTACAGTTGGAGCTATTAAATTAGAGTCAATGAATAACCTCATTTTGATGAAGAGAAAGTAATTCCATTATGGTTTATTTGCCAGATATATTTACCCTGCAATATGTATTCTCATTTGTATTCTCAAAGTTATATAAGGCATGTAGTTAATACAGCTAACAAGAATATTCCCCATTTAAAATGTACCCTATCAACTTAGTTTATGCAAGAACTAATTTCAGCTTTTATCAAGTTTTCAAAAATACTCACGCCATCACAATGACACTGAAATCCAGCCAGTTCCATGGATCCCGAAGGAATGTAAAATTTTCTAAACAAAACCCTCTTGCCAAGATTTTTATAAGTGACTCAAAGGTATAGATTCCTGTGAATGTGTACCTAGAAAAAGTATTCAAGCAAAAGTTAATAGTTTCATTTGAGCAGGAAAATTAAGTATAGTTATTCTTATCCTTTGGTAGTTTTTGAGTTAAGTATAATCTTGCTCTTTATTTCTACTTGGCAAAGAATTTTCTAGTTTAATTACTCTTACAATTCTGATTAAATGGTCAAACTGAAGAGAAAATATTGTACTAAATGATCCAGATCTTGTTTAACTTATTATTATTATTGAACACATTGTTTTACTTATTATTATTGTTCTTATTTTAGAACAATAAATTCAAACCATAAACCAAATCCACTGTCATCAATCAATTCTGACTCATAGCAAATCCCCTTGGACATAGTGAAACTGTTCACCAGGTTTCCAAGACTGAATTTCTTTATGGAGGCTGAATGCCACCCCTTTCTAGGACAGAGAAGCTGGTGTCTTTGAATCTCCAAACTTTGTGTTTTTTAATAGCTCAATGCTTAGTCACTGCACACTTCCCTTAGAAGATCTTCTCTCTCAACTTAACAATGAGTCAAACGCATAGAAAAAATAGTTTCATGTGTTTTGTGACTATCAAGCTTGATCCTTTAGATTCTTTAAAGCGGTGCTATCTGATAGAAATATGAGGGGTGTGTGTGTGTGTGTGTGTGTGTGTGTGTCTGTGTGTGTGTGTGTGTAATTTAACTTCTGCTTCTGTTATTAGGTGTCATTTGGTTGGCTCCTGCTTGATCCTAGGCTATTCTCACAATCTCTTCCATGAGTAAGTCCGTTGTTGCAGTCCCTGCATTAACTTATCTCCTGGAAGGTCTTCTTTTTCACTGACTCTCTACTTTCCCAGTCTTCCTCCAGGAATTGGCCCATCCTGATAACATGCCTAATGTATGTGAGATGAAATCTCACCATCCTGGCTTCTACGGAGCATTCGGGCTACACTTCTTCCAGGACAGATTGACTTTTCCTTTTGGAAATCTGTGGTTTATCCAATATTCTTTGCCAATATCATAATTCAAAGTTAAGAAATTAATTTTTCTATTTCATTTGATACGACATATAAAACAAACTTCTATTTAAAACAATTTAAACTAGTTAAATCTCAAGTATCTTTTAGCTACTTTATTGAAAAGCACAACGCTAGAGGACCTATATATATAACTAAATAGAACCCAAACATCATAATAACTCAAATAAATGTACTTTTAAAATATAGCAATAAACCCAAAATACCTAATATAGAGCAACATACCTTAGTCCATTTTACCATATATATAATAATAATAACATATATAATAATAATAGTTATATATTAAAAGAATGTTTTCATTCATCAAATTACTCAAATGGTAACTGTATATTATTCAACACACTATGAGGCTCAACTTGTGAGCTGAGTATTTTATTTCATTTGTTAGCTGGTATATCCTAATTTGTAAACTTTTTGTTTACAGATATTATTATTTAATTTCTTGGGAAAAATACTTACCTCATTGAGGAAACACTCTCCAAAGTTATCTTCTTTTATACTATGGAAATAATATTTTATTAGGAAATAATATTTAGCCTGAATTTGGAAACCATACTTATGATAAGACAGCTAGAAAATATGTTTGATTTTTTCGTTTCATCCCAAGAAGTCACTCCTACTTACTCTACATTCTTTGTCCAGTCTGGAGGGTTACTCAAGGTCATAAATACACAGTTGGTCAAAATAGTGCACATGATAAGCATGCTGAATAAAGTAGATCATAGTTAAGGAATACATTCTGGTACTTTATCATCATCACTTATTTCAAATTATCTAACCCAAAATGTAGTAATGAAAGTTAAATATGAAATGAATTTTATTTCTTTCTTTTAAAATAATGGTAAAGAGAATCAGAAATTCCAAGCCAGTTGTATATTTTTGACTCATTGTTTTTTCATTTGATGTCATCTACTAACAAAACTGAGCCTCATAGACTACTTAAAACAATTAGATATTACTATACATTCTAATCCTTTGAAATGCTACAGAAAAAGAAATGGCGATTCTATGTAAGTTAATAGTATGTTTGAAGTGTAAAAGTTGTATTGCAGATATAATTTTAAAATCTCCATTGATTCACAAAAGGTTAATGAATGTAATATAAAAATTTGGAGCCTGTATGGCCCCGGGTATTAAAAGATTACCTTGCTACATGCCCACACACCCATAACTATTTCACATATAGCTAAGAACTCTATAGAAAGCAATTACCATAACTTTGTAGTAATGTGATTAATTCGGTTACAATTTATAACATAAAATAAAGTTACTATTTTTGTAGGTAAGTTATTTTATTTATTTCTGACATTTTGTTTTCACTTTCAAAAGTGCATAAAATTAATAAGTCATCTAATTATCTTCCTGTGTCTGGTGCATAGCATACCTAAAACATCCACAGTTAAGCACTAATTATGAAGCCTTTCTGAGAATAAAAGGTATAATTTTTCTTGGAATCTTATTCAGATTTTACTACTAAAAAGTTTATTCTATTTTTATGTGTATTTTAATTTAAATTAAAAATATTTTCCAATAACCTCAAAAGGATTAATTAATTTTGCTTCTAAGTTAGTTATTTGCCTATCTTTTCCTTCACTTTTCATACAGATTTGTTTATAATTTTTAATCAGCCCTTGTAAGATGCCCTTTCTTGAACACTGGATTTAAAGTTTACCTTCCTATTTTTATCATTATTTACATAAGAATTGTCTTATCATCTACACCAATTCTGCACTTTGAATCATTTTCCCGTTGTCATTGTTACAGATTTAAGTTCAACAACTTTTTAATAGAAGTTACAATCTAGATACAGAGCTACACTGTAGGAAATAATAAATGTTTAAATATGAACTGATTAAAGAGTGAGCCAGGTGCTGGAGACACAGAACCAATTAAGGTATAAAATTTTGAGCATATGGTAATATAGATCATAATAATAGACTAATGTTTCCTTAGAAATAGTTGTATATGATCTAATTAGGGTCAATAAAAGTCCTAAGGAGATTTATTGTTGCTCTGATTATTCAAATGTGTTTCACTTACACAATCACTGTCAAGGTTATATTTTACATTATAATAGTTATTCTGTAGTAGTCTTGTAAATAGCAGAAAAGCAGTGAGTACAAATTAAACTAACAATGCTACCATTAATCTCAAAGAATATTCTAGATGTTTAAAATAAAAATGACATTTTCTCTAAAACCAACTGTTAGAGCAAGTACTTAGACATTTCACACAAAAAGGATATGAATGTACCAAAATCTTAATAGCAATTTTCCTAACAGGGTTTAGTGGAGTTAAAATATACAAGGCAGAGGTGGCACTGAATCGGAAAATTGCCTTCCCTTTATTCAATACTATAAAGGTCTGAAAAAGAAAATATGAGAAATAAATTACTAAATTAGACATGTGTCTTATTTAAAACATTTACATTCATGAAGAATTTTTTTTACCAGATTTGTTTACTCAGCTTAGTTTGTTCAAACTTATTTGTCTCTCTTTTATAATTGTAAACATTTTAGTCATTTCTTTCCTTAGATAACATCCAGTGATAAATATAAATAAGATTTACTATTTACTATCTGTCGCTGAGGCTTCAATTTTCTGATACAAATGGTCCTTCTCAACTTCTTTTTTTTTTTTTGTTAACCAAGTTGTAAGGTAGTTTTATAGATTCTAAATCTATTTAAAGGACCCCATCTGATTCCTACTTGGGTAACTTTTCAAACTATTCTACAAATATTGTTAAAAATAATCTTTTATAAGTATTGTCAATTCATCCAATTTTTTTCCTTCAATATTTCTGTTGTTGTTATGTGCCATCAAGTCACTTGCGACTCATAGTGACCCTGTGTACAAGAGCCCTAAACCCTGCTCTATCCTGTGCCAACTTCACTGTCTCTGACACATCTACTCCCACTACCCCAATCACTGGATCGATCCATCTCACCTAGGGTCTTCCTCTCTTGCACTGTCATTCCATACTCCCAAATATGATGTTCCCCTCCAAGGACCGGTCCCTCCTTGTAACATGTCCAAAATATGTCAGACGAAGCTTCAGAATCCTTGCCTCTAAGGAGCAGCCTGGCCTCACTGTCTCTGGGATGAACCTGCTTGTTCTCCTAGCAGTCCATGGTATAGTAAACACTTCTCCAGCACCACAGTTCAAAGGCATCCATTCTCTTTCTATTGTCTCTAGTCACTGTCCAGCTCTCCAATGCATATCACACAATTTTGAAGACTATAGCCCGCATCAGGTTCACCTTAGTCTCCAGCCTGATGTTGTTACGCCTCAGTATTCTGGAGCGGTACCTGATAGCTGACTTTCCCAATGTAATTCTTCTCTTGGTTTCCTGGCTGCTGGTTCCAAGAGTGTTGATTGTGGAGCCACGTATACTAGAACTCTTAACCATCTCAATCTCTTCACCATTCATAATAATGCTGCCAATCAGTCAGCGGTGAGAATCTTTGTTTTCGTGATTTTGAGCTTTAATCCATATTGAAGGCTGCACTCCTGGACCTTCTGCACCAAGCACTTCAGTTCCTCCTCCATTTCAGCAACCAGAGTTGTGTCATCTGCATAGCTTCCTATTATTACAACCATATTTCTCCCTGTTTTGAAACCAATAGCCTGATTTGGCTGGGACAGTTGATAATTGTCTGGTAATACTGGAAGGTGACAGCTGCACCAAAAGTTAGGCTAAACTATATCATTTCATAATGATATAGTTTGAATTCATAATCTGAATTCTGCAATCTTCAAGTTAGCGTTTAAGTTGTGATACCCAGTAACTGCCTGCCATGTGAATGTTGTAGTTAAGTGCCGTTGAGTTGTTGATGACTCATAGTATCAATGGAAGTCCTGAACACTAGGATCAGCTTTTATTTTATCCCACTAGAGGCATTGCTGTTCCAGCCAACTCAATCCACTTGACAATCAGACCCAGGAACTGTCAACCTCACCCTTTGTGACTCTGAAAACGTTGAGTTTCATGAAATCTTCAAACAATGTGGTACTTGAGAGGTCATCTTACTCAAGCTTTCTTCCTTTTCTTCACACAATAAGATCCCACCCACAATGACCAACCAACTCTTTTATCAGTTTCTCAGACAAGACAAGTTGAATTTCCTGCAGGGATTTTTAAATTGTCAATATTTGGTTCCCAGACCAGACACACTGAATCAGAATTTATGAAGGATGGGCATTAACACGGGTATTTATTTTTTTAAATCCCTTTAGGTGATTCTAGTGTATAGTCAGGATTGAGAATCCCTGCTTTCTGGGAATGTCCTTACCCATCAAAATCTCATCTTCCATCATGTCTTTGCAGATAAATCATACTGCCTTTTGGTCACTCTTTAATTGTTTGCCTTTACCAGTAAGTCTCAGTGTATTAATTTGCACTCCTTTGTATGTTGCTTGTGATTATAGTCAAGTAACAATTTACATGTAGAGTTTGCTTATTCAGAGAAGTAGGTTAAAAGCTGTGATAAATCATTAAACGTAGAGAAACTGTAATGTGATTTCTCTCCATTTTTTCCCCACACAATATTTAATAGTGTGGCTTGCAAATAGTTACTTTATTTAATTAAATGTGTGTTTAAATCATCTGTTTTGTATGTTCATTACTTGATAATATGCTTTATTCTTGAACTAGGGGATAGATATAATTTATTCTGGTTCACTGACAATAAACTTTTTAAAATAGTTAAAAATGCTTATAATGTGAGTAAAAAGAGCAGGAAAAACAATTTTTTTGTTTGCCCTTCACTGTAAGGCCTTGAAACTAACCATTATTTAACCCACTATTTCCCATAGATCTCATGCTATAAGTTTGACTTATTCTATGAGGACATTACTTCTTTACTAGCTGTAAGATCACTCACGAAGTGCATTTGACACTGGAAATACTACCCTTGAAACATTAAGAGTTTGGTATTGGTTTTGATGTTTCAATTAATGGAATTATTTAATGTTAAGAATAAAAACAAATTAGACTTAAACAACTATTAGTCTCTTCCTACCTGAAGCAAAGGAGAATGAAGAAAACTGAAGACTCAGAGAAGCATTTAATCCAAAAGACTATCAGTCTGCATGCAGTACAGCCTCCTCTAATCTGAGCTCAGAAAAACTACATAGTACCCTGAATATTCAGGCTGAAATGAGTAAAATATAGGAAAAAAAATTTAAGAAGTGAAAAAAAGGATCAAATTTAGTGAAAGAGACTGGAGTAACTCTTGAGATTATTGTCTTAAAAGAACCTTCCAAAAAAAAAGCACCTTCTAACTGAAATTCATGGTATACTTGGAGACTACGTCAATCATATGGTGGCTGGGCCTTTAAAATAAACAGTGACACTGAAAATCATATACTCTTTAGAGTAATAAACTGTATAGGACCAAAAAGGGCAACCTTTGTCTAAAGCTAAAGATAAGAAGGTGAGGAGAAACACGGAAAGGACATAAATGGCAACAGGAAACCCAGAGAGAAAATGAGGGGAGGGCTGACATACTGTGAAGATCACAGCCAATGTCTTAAAACAATCTGTGTATGAATTTTTGGTTGGGAAACTAATTTTCTATGTAAATTTCTACTTAAGGCATGATGAAGTGTTTGGGAGTTTTAATAAACAGATCTATATGAACAATGAGTAGGAAAGATAGAAGGAGAATTGATGCCTTTGAGCTGTGGTGCTGGAGAAGGATACTGAATATACCGTGGACTGTTAGAAGAGCAAACAAGTTCATCCTGGAGAGGGTGAAGCCAGGCTGCTCCTTGGAGGCAAGGATTCTAAAGCTCCATCTGACATACTTTGGACATGTTGCAAGGTGAGATCAGTCCTTGGAGAGGGACAACATGCTTGGGAGGCTGGAGGGACAGTGCAGGAGAGGGAGACCCTTGATGAGATGGATTGATTCAGTGACTAGGGTAATGGGGGATCGGTGTGTTGGAAACAATAAGATTAGCATGGGATAGAGCAAAGTTTAGGGCTGTTGTACATAGGGTCGCTATGAGTCACAGGCAACTCGACAGCATATAAAAAAACAACAAACGAGACATTTGATGATGGTAGTAAAAAATAAATGATAACATACACACTCTAACTACCATAAAGTCAGAACTAATAGCTGACCCTCTGTTGGGTTTTCAGACACAGTAAATCACATGAGAGGACACTACCCATCATATCTCGGTGGAGCAGTGGTGGATCAAACTGCACGGGAGGTGCCACCTTTGGGTTAACAGCACCAACTCTCTATGGACTAGGTTGACAGAGCTCTCTGATATATACAAGTTCACTACAGTTTAAGGGGAATGCAATTTTTAAATCATTTCCCTGTAAAAGTAGTTGCTACTTAGAATAGGAGAACAGAATTTTGCTCCAAAATAAGTCCAAAAGCATAGTGAACATTATTTACTTTTTAAACACTAAATTCTTTGGTTTTTTTCTGCAATATTATTCTTGGTGATGTTAGTGGAATTAAAGATGGCATGTCAAAGGCAATCTTCACTGAATTTACAGGTTCTTGAACACAGCAGCCTAATTAACACAACCCAGCTTACCCTGGAGAATAACAACCTAATACAAAGAAAAGCTCGAATTCTGGGAAATGAAAAATGACATAATTCTGTCCCTGTATAATGAAGAAATTGCCAGAAGTTTGAAGCATGGGACTTGGCTTTGAGAGGTACACTTAAAAATACCTGAGAATGACAGATGATTAGGGGAGGAAGGAGTACATAATGTCAGTACTCATATTTGGTTTCCAAGAACTGAAAAGTTATGATGTGACTTAAAAAAAAATCAGCTCTATGAGAAGAAAGTGTGGCATCAGGATTGGTGAAAGATCTATTAACATCTGTGTTATGCAGATGACACAACCCTGATTGCAGAAACTGAGGAGGAACTGAAATACTTGCTGCAGAGGGTCAAGGACTGCAGCCTTCAGCATGAATTGAAGCTCAATGTCAAGAAGACAAAGATTCTCACCACTGGACCAATTGGCAGCATCAGGATGGATGGTGACGAGATTGAGATTGTACACAGCTTTAGTTTGCTTGGCTTCATAGTCAACAGTCTTGGCACCAGTAGACAGGAAATAAAAAAAACGTATTGCGATGGGAAAGTCTGCTGGTAGAGACCTCTCCAGGGTACTGAAGAGCAATTGTGTCACTCTGGAGACTAAGGTGC